CAAAGAGGAAAAGGAGATATGAATCAGGCTAGAAATATTATTATAGGAAAGCATAAGTTCTAGAAGTAATCCCAACAATATTTTAATGGTTTGTAGCAACTTTTTAATAGTGTAGCCTCTCTCTCTCTCTCACACTCTCACACACAATTCACTTCAATTAATTTAGTTGATTTAATTATGTGTGTGGACGACATGTTGTCACACATTTATATGCCATATTATCTGTGTGTGTGTGTGTATTTATTTGATTTAATTGTGTGTTTGGACAATGTGTTGTCACATATTAATAAGACATGTTATCCGCGCATGCGTGTGTGTATTGAATTTTATTTTGTATTACACAAAAAAAAAAAAAAAAAAATTGGTTAAACAACATCGTTTAAGCATTCAAGTTAACGGTTAATTGATTGTGAAAAATAACGAATAAGTATAACATATTATCTGAAAATTATAGTTATATTATATTCAATAGATGCACGAATTGCTTAATTTGAATCAATTTTGAAAATTTCAAACAGAACAAATGAATCAGAGTAAAGAACCTATTACCCATTAATAACCTAAATAAGTATAGCAATAGATATGTCTTTTTGATGAAATCATGTGCACCTTATCATTAATAACAGTTTAGGAGTTTTTCTCTCAGATCAAGAAAAAAATATTACCTTTTAAGAAATACATAAAGTAGTCACTAATGATAAATTTAGTTATAATTTTTCCTCAATTACAAAAACGAATATTTTAATTTGTGTCAAGGTTTTTATTTTAATCAATTTGCACGTTACTTTTTTTATTTTTTAAGATAATATAGCTATTTTGAAAGTAAGAAGGATCACTGAGGATTGTGTCATAATAATAATTGGGGTGTTTGGTTTTTCCAAACATTAATGGACTTTTAGACATTTTAAACTAAAAACAAACTAAATGACATATAAGATGATTTATAAACTTATCAACCAGATATATTTGAGAGTCATTTTGATTTAATTAAATTCAATTTGATTTTTGTAAATTATACTTTTAGAGATTTATAGGAAAACGTCATCGGCAATCTGTACCAATTAATACTAGTAAACTTTTAACTTAATGATACCCTTACAAAGCAACAAGGTTTAGGTCTCGACCAATTTTATCTTTGTCAACCTATAATATAGTAAATTACAATACCTTCCAAATGTCATGATGGATTCCGAAAAGCATTTCTATGGGTTAGAGAGTTTAGCACTACTCCAATGGCAAAAAATGCCAAAATCAAAGAGAAAAAGCTATTTCCAAATGTCATGATAATAGATGTCAAATATGGTTATATTTCTTAAAGATTTTTTAAAAAAAAATGCAATAAAATGAGGATTAATTAAGGTTAATATATAGATTTCAAATGGAGGTGAGAATTTTTAATGATTCATAACTTTTTTTTCAGTTTAACTTACATGATTAATTCTCATATTTAATTAATTTTCTGTTAGTTGAAGTTAAAATTGTTATTTATTTTAAGTGGGTTAGAAAGAAAAAATTTATTTCATTAAGTAGAAGAAGAGATTTGAAATTTTCTATCCATTTATTGATTAAAAAAAAATTAAGATTTTCATAGTTGGGCCTCTAAGATTATGTCCCTAAATTAGGAATGAAATTTAAATCCAAAAAATAGTGTTCTCTTGGGAACATGAGATGACTCAAATATTTATTTTGGTACTCATATGGAACCAGGAAAGATATAAGGTAAGGAATGAGTTTTAAAATTTTAATCAAATTTTTTTTTTTTTTACTTTAAAATAACATATATTTGAAAGAAAGTAATGCTAATTGCAATTTCTTTTTAGTCTTAATAATAAAGATATCCTACGTCTAACGAGGACTAGAATTCTATTCTTTTTAAGTATTGGACATATCATCTCATTCTAAACTAGTTAGTGAAAACAATCTTTTTGGCAAAATAATTAAGCCGGATTAGGCCCTCCAAGTGTCATATTTTGGTCAAGTTTTCCGTACTTCCAGCCATTATGTTATGCAATAGTAATATTTTGTTATGTTCTTCTATTATTATGATAGAATGATAAGGTTCCAGATGAGGTGCCGTTTTGCAACATGATGGTAGGACTGCTAGGAGACTGTTGTCCAGAGTAGATAGGGTCAAATGTAAAGGGGTTAAGAAAATACATAGGACCTTTCCCTCAGACGAATGGTTTGGTAGGTAGTACAGGCCCTTTGACTTCCAGTAATGTTTTCGATTGGTAATATATTGATCCGTCAAAGTGTATTGCTATTAATTTTATATATATAAGATGAATAAACGAGTAAGAACATGAGATATAAAAATAAAATTACTTTTTATGAAATTATGGAATACTTTGGGCTAAAGAATCTGCCACTAAATAAAAGTATTGTTAAGTCATCAAGAGTGAAGCTTTCGAAGCGCTCTTTTTGATAAGCAATTACGTGCGAAAAAAAAACTGTCTTGGATATTCATATTATACCTTTTGTTGCCTTTGGAGGCTTAATTAGTCTATGCGGTAAGTGGGCATATGCTCTTTAAAATATCATTCAGGGTCGAATCTTATGGGAGGGCATGAGATAAAAAAATTTAACTCATGCATGTACTAGTCCAATTGATGATGGCTATATAATATCCAATCGTATATATAATATCCAACCTACGAGGGATATAGTCTTTGTGCACGAAAACTAGCCTAATGATTCTCTTAAAAGTAAGACAAAAAAATTTTGCTCTTAAATTAAAATAATTAAAAAATTATTGGGGTTATGACAATTTAAGACCTCTATTATCAATTTGGGTTATTTGGACGCAAAACTTTTATTTTCTAAGCAAATATTATCTTTTTTTCATTATCTTGGATATCAAAAAAATTGACCGTTAACTCGAATGTTTAAAAGACGTTATTTAAGCATTCTAATTATTTTTTTAATGAAAAAATTAACCCAAACTATTAAGTTTATAGCAATGTTATGCTTTTATTATTATTTTTTTACAATCAAAGCATTGATTGTCAATAACTTGAATGCTTAAATAGCATCGTTTAATTTATTTTTTTTTTGTAAAAGAAAATTAATTTAAAAAAAAACTAATAATGGTTAATGCGAACGACATGCATCCTAATATGTCATGATATATCGTCTTGAGGCACTTTTAATTCAACTAAATTAATTGAATTAAACTGAAAGAGAGAGAGAGAGAGGTTGTAATTGATTGAATCAAGAGTTTGCAGTAAAGAACAAGGAGGAAAAGAAGAAATGAATTGGGCCGGAAATATTGTTATAGAAAAGCATAAGTTCTAAACGTAATCCCAGCAACATTTTAATAGTTTCTAACAATGCTTTAATAGTTCTCTTTCTCTCTGGATTGTCTCATATTAAAACGACATGTTAATATATATATTGAAAAAAATCTTTTTCATGTTTTTTTAAATTTTCTTTAATAATAATTATTATATTTTAAATTTAAAAAATCAAATAAAAAACTCATTTAAAAAATTATATCTTTTTCAGGTTTTTCTTTCTTTCTTTTCTTTTTTCTCTCCTTTTTTCTTTGTTTTAATGTTTCTTCTTCTTTTTTAATGATAAGGTGATAAAAGAGAATTTAACTAAATAAAAACGATCCTTACTAATAATAATAATAATCATTTGTGAGAAATCTATACTATTGAAGAAGTTAAAATAAATTAAAAAAACATCAAAAACAAATATTAAAAAAGTTAAAAATAGGTAATGACAACGAGAGTGAGAACAATTTATGTGAGAGAGAAAGGAATGATGAAATCTCATGGAAAAATGAAAAAAAGAAGGTGACTGAATATAGAAAGCAAGTGATGAAATGGGATGGAAAATTACTTTTGTTTTTTTTTTTAAAAAAAAAAAAAAAAAAAAAAAAAAGCACAGAAACCATGAGATTAAATGATCTTGATAGGCAAAATAGGAAATGGTGGGAAACAAAAAAAGGAAGAAGTGATTGGACAAACAAAGGAAATGGCAAATAGAACGGAAAATAAATTTAAAAAAAAAAAAAAGGCGTATAGAACCCAATAGCATTAAATGCTCTGGCAAGAGAAGACGGAAAAAGACAAAAAAGACAATGACAAAAAAGAAAATAAACAAAGAATAAAGAGGCAACATACCATCAACTCGCAAGAGAGAGGAATTAAAATGTCAAATGCACTATCAACATGTAGATCGCACGACCAACAAAGAGCCTGATGAAGATCGAACGGCCAAGAGCAAGAGATGATGAGGTTGCGGATGGGAAAAAGGCAACTCGCAAGAGAGAGGAATTTAAATGTCAAATGCACTATCAACATGTAGATCGCACGACCAACAAAGAGCGTGATGAAGATCGAACGGCCAAGAGCAAGAGATGATGAGGTTGCGGATGGGAAAAAGGCCAAAAAATGCGTACCAACAACGAAATCAAACAGCTACAAACACACATAATAAAGGATGAATGGTCGAAGACGCAAAGAAAGAAGACTGTGTCTCTGTGGACGGTCAAATTGGATCTAATGAACAGAAAATAAACAGTGAAAGCCCATATCTTTTAGTTTTTTTTTTGGGTTAATGTAAGGGAATAGTACCTAAAAATGAAGGAGTCCAGCCTAATAGATTTTATATGAGAGCCTAAATTTTATACTTTGTATGATAATGGTACAAGGAATGAAGTCAGCCAAGAAACCCATTTCTACAATTCTCTAGCAAATACAAATTTCTCATAGATTTCAAGCTCAACCGTGCCTAAAAGAATACGTGTACTACGCATCATAGAATTCCAGGAATACCTTGGACTTGAACACCAAGAATGTGACTTGTAGAAATGTCATTTTTGCCACCTTTTCCACAAATTTACAGATAGTTCTGGTTGCTAACACGTATAGGTGCAAGTCCAAAACGTTTGAATCGAATCAGGCACAAATCGACTAGCAATCTTAACCTAGTTGCTGAACCTTGAGCAAAAATCCGCCAGCAATTATAATTGATGGGTTGCAAAAGTTGGCTCATTGTTTCTGCACGAGGTGTTCAACATCTCCAAGCTCTACTTCACTTCCTTGCCATTCATGTTCATCCTTAAATAGCAGTTCAATCTGCTCCAATGACTTTCCTTTCGTCTCTGGAACAAGTGTGTAAACAAAAAGGACTGAAAGAGCTGAAAGTACGGAAAAGACAAAGAATGTTCCACCTACAGAAATTGCACGAGTAATGGAGAGGAAAGACATGGCAACCAAGCCACTGCACACTCTATTCCCTACAGCCCCAAGTGCAGCCGCTTGAGCACGTAGCTTTAGTGGGAAGATTTCTGATGTCAACACCCAGCAAACAGGGCCAATTCCTACTGAGAAAAAAGCTACATTTGAACAGACAAGTAGGATTGCCATCGCGATCCCAAACTCTCCTTGCCCGATAAAAGTGAGAGTAACACCGATGCTGAACAAACAAATAGTCATCCCAATTGTACTTATGTAGAGCAAAGGTTTCCTCCCGAGTTTGTCGACAAGAAATATAGCAACCAATATAAAAACAGTTTTCGAAATACCTACAGTAACTGTTGCAGCAAGAAGCTTCGACTCATCCTGAATTCCAGCACCTTGGAAGATTTCAGGGCTGTAATAAACAGTTGCATCTATTCCGGTGATCTGTTGGAAGCACTGGATTCCAAAACCAGTGATCAGCATCCGGCGAAGAGAAGGTGATGGACTCAACATTTCACGCCACATGGCTTTCTCTTCATCCTTCTCAGTTGTACTGGTTCCAGCAGCTAGTAGTATTTCTGCAAGTCTCTCCTCCACTTCGGTCTCGTTGTCAATTGTTTTTAACAGGACTGTTCTTGCTTCTTCGACTCGGTTTTTCATGACCAACCACCTTGGTGACTCTGGGATTATGAAGAGTGCAATTCCAATCAAGAACGAGGGGAGAATTCCTACACCAAGCATTACCCTCCAGTTTATGTGCCCTGGAAGATGTGCAAATGCATAATTCGAGACGTAACCGAGTAATATCCCGAGGTTTATGAAAATCTCTGGGAAAGAGGTAAGAGAACCTCTAGCAACACTTGGTGATATCTCAGCAATATAGATTGGGGCAATCATGACACCAAACCCTATTCCAATCCCAGCCAAAAATCTCCCTATTATTAGCACTTGGAAAGAAGAAGCAAGTGTCATTGTAGCTGCACCGGTTTGAAAAACAATAGCTGCTAAAGCCATAGTCCATTTCCTACCAATAACATCTGACGTTCTTCCCCCAGCTAAACTACCAAAAAGTGAAAGAATGCTTAAACACCCAATAAGAACTTCTTCCTGTACCTCAGTTATCTTTAGATCTTCTTGAATGAATATGATTGCTCCACTCATCACTCCCACATCTGTACATTAAAAAACATAATAAAAAGTACTTAAATCTAACAACCTACTTACCCTGCTGGGAAGTCCAAATTTTCACCTAATTCAAATATTGAAGTCCAAATTCTCATCTAATTCAAATATTAATCAATCTGCAATCATGAACTTGGACACAAAAAAACAGTCAAGTCCATCTAATTCAGATATTTTGAATAGATTGACTCCAACAAGATTTGAACTTTAGTTTTCTGCTAATTCACAAGCACCATGTCCACACACCAGTTTACGAACTTTCCGAAAAAAAATGAAACAAAACAGCATTTATATCTACTAATTAAGCATGGGGGACTGGTCAACCCAGGCAATCAAGAACATATTTTCTAGTATTTCTACTCTTATCCTGATGGTGATTATGTGAAACATATTTTCTAGCCATACAAAATGAAATAAGATAAAAGATACATAAATAGAAACAAGTACAACAACACTAGCTCCTCAAATGGAAAAATAGAAGAGAATAATTACCATAGCCAAGAAGAACAGAGTTGAGAGAAGCGAAAATGGCACAAGCAAAAACATATTTTCTAGTATTTCTGCTCCTCTTATCCTGATGGTGATGATGTGAAGCATCATCAAAATCCTCTGCAACTTCTGAATCCATTCTCCTGTACTTATTCTTGGTTCCAAGAGACAAACCAACCTCTCCATTCCCATTTTCTTGGACACCAACCAGTCCCATCTCTCTTTTCTTTACCTCTTCTGAGGCAAAATAACACAAAAACTAAACAAACACAGAAGCTCTCTAACCGGAAAAGATGTCAGACCCAAGCGGAACTTAGGTTTTAGATCTGAAACTCAAAGAGAAGAAGACCAGTCTTCAGCAAGTGGACCTTACTTTTTGTCAAGCGACGAAAGTAGGAAACCGCTTGTTAAGGCAATGTAAATTATTCTTTACATTAAATGGCCGTGACCATCGCAAGACATTGACTTCCTACTTTGAAAATAAGGTTTATTGGCAATTCCAAGGTAACAACAGCACAGCTGCATAGGTGTACAACATGTGGAAATAGCAGTAGTTTTGTTCCATCTTTCGTAGTTATTCTGTTAAACGTTGTTGCATTCCTAATATTTTTGCCCAAGTAAAGAAGATATATTTTTTTTAGTCCCATTCTTTCTTTCCCTTTTTGTGAATCCCTGGAAATTCTTTTATTTGTATAGCCAACTTCATCTTTCAAATGTTTCTTGGGAGAAATTATTATGAATATGTTTCTTGTGGAGTGAATTTATCAAATTATCCAAATTCACTATTAGTTTCGAATAACGTACGAATTTAATCCAAAAATACATTTGACCATGAGTAATTAGATCTAGATATTTAATATTGAAATTGGAATGATGAGATTAATCTAGAATTTTATTTTTATTGCTGTTTTTTATTTATGTTTTTTTCTTTTATGCTATACCATGACTTTTACAAGATTTTGTTTAGATTTGGGCAGCCATAATTGGGCATGAACATTCTGTGTTAATAAATTACCTATCAAAGAATGCAAGATTTGTGAAGAGGGAATTTCCACACCAACTGGATGGAAGATAAGTTAGTTTCGTGGGTGAAACCCACTCTTGTTACCCCTTGGCCGACAATTGTTGTGATAGGCTAATGGACCCGTTACCAGGAAGTGGGCAGCACTTTCCTTCAATGAAATCTTCGTACTGTAACTTGCCTTTTACTTCAAAGCCAATGCCAATTCCTCTTCAACATAACATCAAATGTTTTTCATTTTATCATTCAATATCAGTTTTGATATAAATAATCTGTTCAAAACTTGATTGAAATATACTTCAAATATATATATATATATATAATTGATTAAATGATGATGTTAATAAGTTTTTTTATTTTTTTCATAGATAAGACATTGTAGTCTATATTAGTTATTATATGTTAAAAAATTAGCATTAATAGTTACCAGGATATGAAAAAAATGTCATATTATCAGTAGAATGATAACGTTAGTGGTAAGGGTGGTGGTAGTTTTGTAAATTTTGATTTTTCTAAAATAAATATAAATTTTTATATTGATGATGAACCTTTTTTATTTTTTTGGTTAACTAAATTGAAACAAAAGTTTTAGAAACTATGTTACTTTAATATATTATATGCAAAATAAAAATATAGACAATGTAATTCTTTTTACACAAAGATAATATAACACCAAAACTCCTTAAACACACCCAAACATCAGAATTTTCATTCTGTGATTTAGGGCTAATGGGCCAATAATATTTCATTGTTCCCAAAAATAAAAGGCTTGGCCCAATTCTATAATCCATCCTAGGGAATGATTTTATCGGGCCGGAGGTACCCTCAGTTTCGAGCCAAGTTATAAGGATTCTTAAAAGTTAAAACAGGCCTTTTTTTCCCATCTCTTAAAGAAACCTCAATTGAGTCCAAAATCTATAAATTTATCAGTTTAATTCCAAACATTTCAAAAAAATTCTCAATCAGATCATTTTGTTAATATTTATAAATATTTTTCGTCAAATAAATGTGATTTTATACATAAATATACACATTATATTGAAAATATTAGTTCATTGACTTTTCATTTTTGCTTAACTCGATGTCGTTTTTAATGCATGACATGTAAACTATTAAAAGATATTGAGAAAAAAATGTAATTGAGAAATACATGAAATATCTAGGACTTTATTGATAAATATAATAAAGTTTGGGACGTAATTGAGAATGGGTATGTAGGTTTTGGTCAGTTTCCTAAATAGAAAGAGGAAAAAAAATAATAATAATAACCGACTTTCTGTCGAAATAAAAGAAAGCGAAATCCAACTCCGATCGTCTTTCTCAATTTTTTCTCCACCATCTTCTTCATTTCTCTTCTTTTAAAACCAGAAAGAAACCAGACACTCCCCTCCTCCATTAAAACGATCTCTGTGACCTTCACAAAATCAAACCCACAAAAAAACCCATCAAAATGGTGTTCATACGAACCCCAACAACCACCAACAAAACTCTATACATCCACATAAACCCTAACACCACAACCCTTAATTCCCTCAAACACCAAATCCAACTCCAAACCCAAATTCCAATCCCCCACCTAAACTTCCTTCTTCCTCAAAATTCCCAAAATCAAAACACACTTTTCCTCTCTCAACTTAACATTACCAATAACTCAACCCTAACTCTTAACATCCCATTACTTGGCGGGATGCAAGCTCCGGTCCCACCCAAACCCCGGTTGGATTTCTTAAATTCCAAGCCCCCAGCTAATTATGTTGCGGGATTAGGGCGTGGGGCTACTGGTTTTACTACTCGTTCTGATATTGGTCCTGCCCGGGCGGCACCTGATTTGCCTGATAGGACTGCTGGGGCGGCTGCTGCCGGGGCTGGGGGCGGTGCGGGGCGGGGGAAAGGGGGGAAAGGAGGGGATGATGAGGATGAAGACGAGAGCGAGGAAAAAGGGTATGATGAGAATCAGAAGTTTGATGAATTTGAAGGGAATGATGTGGGGTTGTTTGCGTCGGCGGAGTATGATGAGGATGATAAGGAGGCGGATGCGGTGTGGGAGGAGATCGATAAGAGGATGGATTCCAGGAGGAAGGATAGAAGGGAAGCTAGGTTGAAGGAAGAGATTGAGAAGTATAGGGCGTCTAATCCGAAGATTACAGAGCAGTTTGCTGATTTGAAGAGGAAGTTAGTTACATTGTCGGCAGAAGAGTGGGAGAGTATTCCGGACATTGGGGATTATTCGTTGAGGAATAAGAAGAAGAGGTTTGAGAGTTTTGTGCCTGTTCCAGATACCTTGTTGGAGAAGGCTAGACAGGAGCAGGAACATGTTACTGCATTGGATCCTAAGAGTAGGGCGGCTGGTGGGGCTGAGACGCCATGGGGGCAGACGCCAGTTACTGATTTGACTGCTGTGGGAGAGGGAAGGGGGACTGTTTTGTCATTGAAGTTAGATAGGTTGTCGGATTCTGTTTCGGGCTTGACTGTTGTTGATCCTAAAGGGTATTTGACTGATTTGAAGAGTATGAAGATTACTAGTGATGCGGAGATTTCGGATATTAAGAAGGCTAGGTTGTTGCTGAAGAGTGTTACACAGACGAATCCGAAACATCCTCCTGGTTGGATTGCTGCGGCAAGGTTAGAAGAGGTGGCAGGGAAGATTCAGGCAGCTAGGCAGCTGATTCAAAAAGGGTGTGAGGAGTGTCCTACCAATGAGGATGTCTGGTTGGAGGCATGTAGGTTGTCGAATCCTGATGAAGCGAAGGCGGTTATTGCTAAGGGAGTTAAGAGAATCCCAAATTCTGTTAAGTTGTGGATGCAGGCTGCGAAATTGGAGCATGATAATTTTACTAAGCGGAAGGTTTTGTTGAAGGGTTTAGAGCATATCCCCGATTCTGTGAGGTTGTGGAAAGCAGCTGTGGAGTTGTGTAATGAGGAGGATGCTAGGACCTTACTTGGTAGGGCAGTGGAATGCTGTCCTTTGCATGTTGAGTTGTGGTTAGCATTTGCAAGGTTGGAGACGTATGAAAATGCAAGGAAGGTGTTGAATAGGGCGAGAGAAAAGTTGCCCAAGGAGCCAGCTATATGGATCACTGCTGCGAAGTTGGAGGAGGCAAATGGGAATACATCAATGGTTGGGAAGGTTATTGAGAGAGGTATTAGAGCTTTGCAGAGAGAAGGGGTGGTGATTGATAGGGAGGAATGGATGAAGGAGGCTGAGGCTGCGGAGAGGGCTGGTTCTGTTGCAACTTGTCAAGCCATTGTTAAGAACACAATTGGAATTGGAGTGGAAGAAGAGGATAGGAAGAGAACATGGGTGGCGGATGCAGAGGAGTGTAAGAAGAGAGGGTCTATTGAGACTGCTAGAGCAATTTATGCTCATGCGTTGACGGTGTTTTTGACTAAGAAGAGTATTTGGCTTAAGGCAGCACAGCTCGAGAAGAGTCATGGCACTAGAGAATCTCTCGATGCATTGCTACGAAAGGCAGTTACTTACAGGCCACAGGCTGAAGTTCTTTGGCTTATGGGTGCCAAAGAGAAGTGGCTTGCTGGAGATGTACCTGCTGCCCGAGCCATTCTTCAAGAAGCTTATGCTGCTATACCAAACTCTGAGGAGATTTGGCTTGCGGCATTTAAGCTTGAATTTGAGAATCATGAGCCTGAAAGAGCTAGAATGTTGCTAGCCAAGGCAAGAGAAAGAGGTGGTACAGAAAGAGTCTGGATGAAGTCTGCTATTGTAGAGAGAGAGCTAGGCAATATTGAGGAGGAGAGGAAATTGCTGGATGAAGGGTTGCAGCGGTTTCCTTCGTTCTTCAAACTGTGGTTGATGCTTGGGCAGCTCGAGGAACGACTTGGTAATTTGGATAAAGCCAAGGAAGTTTATGAGGCAGGTTTGAAGCCCTGCCCAAGTTGTGTGCCTCTTTGGCTTTCTCTTGCTAACCTTGAGGAGAAAACGAATGGGCTCAGTAAAGCTCGAGCTGTGCTTACCATGGCAAGGAAGAAGAATCCTAAGAACCCTGAACTTTGGCTTGCTGCAATCCGTGCTGAATCAAGGCATGGAAATAAGAAGGAAGCTGATAACTTGATGGCAAAAGCATTGCAGGAGTGTCCCACCAGTGGCATACTTTGGGCAACATCTATTGAGATGGCTCCTCGTGCTCAACATAAAAGCAAGAGCTCGGATGCAATTAAGAAATGTAGTCCTCATGATCCTCATGTCACAACTGCCGTGGCCAAGTTGTTCTGGCGGGAAAGGAAGGTTGACAAAGCTAGGAGTTGGCTGAACAGGGCAGTTACCCTTGCCCCAGATATTGGAGATTTCTGGGCTTATTATTACAAATTTGAACTCCAACATGGGACTGAGGAAAACCAAAAGGATGTCTTGAAGAGGTGCATTGCTGCAGAACCAAAGCATGGTGAAAAATGGCAAGCGATTTCAAAGGCTGTGGAGAACTCTCACCAACCTACTGAAGCCATCTTGAAGAAAGTGGTGGTTGTACTTGGGAAGGAAGAGAGTGCTTTGGAAAATAATGACCAGTAGTTCCTTGTAAGCCTGTGGTTTGAAAGCATCTGTCCTGTTTAGGTTCTTTTGTAGACGACGAGCATTTAACGTTTTTAGATGTCATTGTAGTTTTTTAGTTGCCAATGCCTTTACATGTCTTTACTTAATGGGTTTGAAGCACAAGTACATGTTTAAGTGCCATAGAATCATCTTGACAGAACTTTTACTATTATTTAATGTTTTATCATGTCACGTTTTATTATGTCACTCTCCTGTCCTTGATGCTTTGTTTGGCCCAGTTCACTTTGCAACTCTCAGTTTATTAATTGATGTTCGTTTGTGATTTCAGTTTTAAGGAATAAAGGGAAGGATTGAAGTTTCTCTTAAATCTGTCTGCTATACAAATTGCTAGCCCTCTGCTATTTATTTACTGGTTCTAAAATTTCTCATAGCAAGATACTGAAAATATTCACTTTAAAGCAGATCCAAGCTGCTAATCCTAATTTCCACAATGTCCTAATTTTCTAGCCCTATGTTTTAGATGTTAAAACTCCATTAATTGAAATTTCTGCTTACCGTACAGTGATCTGATTTTAGTTGAATCTAATTTTGAGCTGGATGCTTATAATTGGATAAAGTCGCTGCATAATTCTCGGGCACTAACATATTTGATTTCTTTCCTCTGTTTCAACATGCAATATTTGTGTTTGTTGTTTGCTTTTCTTTTCTTTTCGCTTTTCTCCTCTGGTAATCATCTGAAGTCATTTCTTGTTTATTTCTTGTTTTTAAATGATTAGACTAAATTGTGGACAAAAATATGCCTGGACGTTACGATCAGGAATTGCATGAGTCCAGGATCTGGAATTTGGAAGGATAGGAAGTAGGAGGATGCTGAATTGGCTGGAGTGTAAGACTTTTGCCGAGTGTCGAAGGTGAAGATGGAAAAACTTCTGACTGGTATGTTGTTGGTGGATATTGCAGTTAGTCCATTTTCTGATTATCTTGAATCTTTATATTTTTTGACAGCAACTCCAATTACTGTTTCAGCTTTTGAGTGTTGAGTGTCATTGCTTAAACGTCTCTATATCATTCGTGGTCTGCCGCCTGTACTGCTGCTTTTTTGTAATTACGAGCTATTTGGCTGTGATGGTGGTGGTGCTCAGATGGATTTCTCTGTGTAATTTATTTACATAATTCAATTTTTTTAAAATAAATAACTCGTTAATAATTTGGTGCTAATTTGTCGAAAATTTGGCTTTTGCTGCAGCTAGCATGTATTAAGTCGAGATATATTCTCTACTTGGTTCTTGATCTTCTGCTGGAAATATATTCTTACACCAGCACTCTTGAATTTCCCTTGCTGCTGGTTTCAACTATGACCTCTTGTTATGCGTTGCTTGCGTTGTCTCTTTGACCCTCTGACCTCAAGGGATGCGTTCTGCTGCTTCTGTAAATCGCTCAACGTTACTGGATCTGTTCTTGCACACAGTTTATTGGTTATGCTAAATTGCTGTCTGTAGCTGGTTCCTTTGTTGTTTTGGGGTTGTCTTTTGGGTGTTTTAACCTAGGCGGCTTAATTTCTTATTATTTTGGCTGCTGCTGGCCTCTTTTTGGGATCAGTTTTGTTCCCGGCTGCTGATAACCTTTTCTTTCTGGGCTTGTTTGCTGCACCTTCTGCACTGTTCATTGTTGTTTTAATTGAAATTTGGAGGAGAAGGGACAATCTAACGTTAGCATTTATGCAATCTAAGCATTAAAGTTTTTAACTGTCATGTAATGAATGAAGAATAATAAAGAACAATGCTACACGGCAGAAAAATTTGGATTCTTGATCAAGTGCATCAAATATACATCAGATTAGCCTTTCTAGTTTAAGCAGACATTTGAGATATGTTAGCTGAGGTAATCTATAGTGCCACTCCTTTTCTTCTCTTTCTTGCTTGCTGCTAGAATACTTTGAGGCTGTCACAATATAGCAGCAGGAACGAAAATTACTCAACAATTTCAGGTGAATAGGCCCTCCTACTCATGAAAGAAGAAAAAAAAAATCCATGGACCTCACATTAATGTGCAAGGGAGTAAGCAAACACCAAGAAAAATTAATAATGTTTAGACCGCAACATTAATGCCTATCTAACATCAAAAGGGTACTATCAAAAACATAAAAGGAGAAAGAAAAAACGAATTTCTAGACCCAGAAACGAAACTTGAGATGCCTTGAATAAAGGTTATTTGAAAGAGCAAGTCCAAAGGCAAATTGCTTCTTGACTCATAGATAACAAATCCCTCACGAATGCAAGATTAAAACTTTATTAGGTCCTTCGTATTATAGAGTTAAATAGTTGAGATTAGGTTCCATCCAAAAGACTTAAACTTTATGGTGGATGGTCCCTTCTCAGCTTTATGTATTATTTATTGAGATATGTTCTAACACTTCCCCTCATTTGCAGCCTATCTTTTGTGGTTTGTTAAGTAGCTTGGGTTTCGGGATCTTTCTTGGACCGTTGAGCCTCTTTGAGGCTCCGATACCATATAAAGTTAAATAGTTGAGATTGAGTTCCATCTAAAAGACTTAAGCCTTATGGTAGGTGACTCCTTCTCAACTTTATATATTATTTATTGGGATATGTTCTAACACATATTAACCATCCACGGTCATAAAGCATTCATCTTTTGGTTCGCTGCCGTGCTTGTCATTACTCATTTATTTTCTCTTGCTCTTCTTATCAATTTATTTTAGCAATATTGAAGAGCAAAATCAGGGCCTAATGATCAGTTCAATCGGCCAACACAAAGAAATATGTAAGTGTTTCTACTTCCTAGTCACACATGCATACAGTTCCAATACAACACAGTAACATGAAGCAAAACCAAAATTCAATATCACGGTAACCATTTTACTCAAAGATAGCAATAACCCATCTTAAAACTAATTAAAATTATTGAACATTTTGAGTCCAATCAAACATACTTAGACATAAATATAACTTCTGACACCAACCTTCTCAAAAACACTCATTGCCACCTCTAAACTAAAACGACCCTCGGAGGCTTGGCTGGCTCAGATGGTAAGTGGGTTCGCTCCTCACGTTATCATCTTAGATTGAAATCCAAGAGGAAGCCGCAAGAAAGAAAAATCTATCGATTCTCGTGAATGCACCGCAATGTTAAAGAAAATACTCAGCAAAAGCTGGCACAAGAATACGCAGCAGTTAAAAAAAAAAATTCTAACCTAAAAACTACTAACAAAACCCACATAAAGAACAACACCATACACCAAGAGGACACAGGAGAGATGTTTTTTTATGGCCTGAAGAGCCTGGGGATACATTTTTTGAACTGCCTCAACCTGTCAACATATCTAACAATATCATTTCTCTTCACAAAGTTCCCATCTTTGATCCATTGATCAATTGTGTTTGCCACATTGTTGTTGGTGGTGTTTTGCCGTTCAAAATCTGTTATATTTCTGAACAGAATCATGTTTTTGTCTCTTCTTGCCTTTGAAGCAGTGTAAATGTGTCTAGGTGCGGACAAAAAATATGCTGGTGGTAATAACAACCTCATTAGCGTCGTTCGCAAGACTCACTCTCTCTGTTTCTCTGCTGATCACAAACTCTGGGGTTTTAAGCGTTTTTGAGTCCCAGGCTGTGTTTTGATCAGGGAATGATAAGTCGTTCACGTTTTTGTCTGAGTGGTCGTTGCTTAATGCTGTTTGACAAAGCATTTCTGTGCCAATATGAGAGTTCAGAATACATGGGTGACATGTCGTTTTTCTATGTGCTAGTTGCATGAAACGGCTTGTGATTAAGCTGCCTTCTCCAAGGACTTAAGGCTTTAGTTGAAACTTGAAACCAAGGACACCGCCTCTACATTGGACCAGACATCCACGTCGTCAACCAGATGTCGCGGTTATGAAAAAGAACGTTATCCTTGTTATTCAAAACGGTTATCATCCATTATAGATTGTTCAAAATACTACCGAAACTGTTTTGTAGATCCCTTTAACTCGTTTCGAAGAAGACATTTACTAACCAATGCCTTTGGATTTGTCGAAGTCGTAGAAGAAAGTGTCTACGGTTGAACCGCATTCCGAGAATATAGTTCTGGTCTATGACAGAAGCATTGCAAGTGGGTTTGGATGTCCTTGTGTGCTCTTGAGATGCTTATAGGCTTTGTTGCAGAGTGCACAAACTGTGTCAGCAGAGGAAGCATAGCATTGGCAAAGAAGTATAAGGATCTTCTTTCATCAGGCTATTCAAATGGAAAAAGTACAATTGCCTCATCTCATTCAAAAGGTTTGGTATCTACATTTACAAAAAGAGGTAAAACTAATAAAACATTCGAGCAAATTAAATTTCAGGACTAAATGCTCACAGTATTGCCTTCTTTAAGAAGTTTGCATTCTACACAAGCGGTTTAATTCTGTTTCGGGGATTGATTATGCCAGACCGACTAGCTTTTCACTTATCTCCCACAACTTTAATGCCTTCTCTGCATCGCTGGCTTCTTTAGAGAGCTGATTTTCAAAAGAAGATGAGTTCTTATTCCAGCTCCAGTAAACACCTGATTTCGTCAGGCTCGGATCACTCACAACCTGAATCACAGAAAGTACAATTTTAGGCTATTGTATTTGATGCAAACTTATATATGTATACATTGCAAAAACAAAAGCAATCTGTAGTAACGAACCTGTGCAAGTCTTTTTCCTGCTTCCTCTTCTGAAACATAGCCTTTAGTAATGTACTTCTGGAAGGGTGGGAATAGGGTCCTGAACAAAGGAATGTGGTTCCTGAATAAGCCTGTTTCAGCTATGCAGCCAGGGTAGAGAGAAGCAAAGGTGATGCCTGTCTCTTCGTGGTAGCGCTTGTGGAATTCTTGCATTGTGAGCATGTTGCAGACTTTGCTGTCTTTATAGGCCTTGGCACCATCAAATTCCCCACCATCTATCATGGGCGAGCTGTTTAGGTCATTCAAGCCCCCCACAAGACCTCTCAAATCTCCAAGGTTTGCCTTTGGAGGCACATTCCCAGCCAATGTGTTTGTGTTTCCTAGAATCATAAATATGAAAACATACTATCAGATTGCCAATCTTCATCGTTACTAGTTCGTTTAAACCAATTTCTTTGTAAGTAACAGATTCCTGGAAGACTTTATCATTAAAATCATATTTCTGAGCTTCTAAGATGTTATTCATTAGTTCATGATCTTGTTTATGAATTCTGACACTTGCAAAACTGTAGGAAAAGCCAACTAGCACTAGCATGAACATGCCTTTTCCTCCCTAATCTTTATCAGTACCTGTTATGGAGCCAACAATGATTAGACGTTTCGATGGATAATCCGATTTCTTCAAGTCATCAAGAAGAAGCCGTGCAAGCAGGAAGTGACCAAGATGGTTAGTCCCAACACTGAGTTCAAACCCCTCAGCAGTATAAGTTGGCTCCTTGGCAGTTGGTAAGTAGACAGCAGCATTGCACACCAGTACATCAAGTGGCATACCAGAACGACGAAATGTATCTACAAATTGCCGGACACTTTCAAGAGAGGCAAGGTCAAGATGAATAACAGTGTAGTTCTCTTTAGGAATGCCAGCTGTTTTTGCCGCCTTTTCTGCCTTAAGAAAGTTCCTACATGCCATAATTACATGACATTGCCCTGTCTCAGACAAAGCTTTGGCTGTGGCCAAACCCAAGCCGGAGGATGCTCCAGTAATTACCACAATACACTTCCTTAAAGTTTTCTTTGCTTCTGGTGCTGCCTCTGTGATTGCTGGAGTTGTAGTAGCTGTTTGAGCCCTAATGGTTCCAATAGGCAATTCCCTTCTCCTGAATTCCTACATGCCAATCAATAACATTTATTATACAGATACAACACAAGTCTTGTGTGTACTTACAGAAGCACATTCTTGATTGAGGTTTTATGATTCCACATAAAGCTCAATTTTTAACTATTTCTCTACATGGATGGCATTTAAAAAGGGTTTCTGATATCACTTTTAGCCACGAATCTGACTAATTTTTTCACAGGCAGACACAAAATGTTTAACAATTTCCCTGCATGATCTCCTCCTACAAGATTAACTCCTATTTTATAAGCATTTGAGATAGTCCATGTGAGGGTTGCAGTAAACAGAATCCACCTTGGGCTAGCTTTCGTGCACCGATACTATACAAGTCCACATCTCCATGCTGGAACTAGAGAATTTGTGAGAACTTTACTCTCGCGGAGATTAATCGAACCCTAGTGGCCAAAAGGGATATAGAATCTTAAATAACTTTCAACCTATTACATTCCTTCTTGTTTTCTTAACCTTGCATTCAACAATACACATTCAGTTCATCACAGCAGTGTAAAGAAAGTGGAAAATTTTGAATATTTCTGTCATGCCATTAAACCCTTTCACAGAAGCTCAGTGTTGTGCCATGTACAAGTGTTAGAATTGGTCATCCTCAGCTAAATCTTTAGCTTTTCTTCATCTATAGTTTCTGAAGGTTAAATTAAGCAAGCAAGAAACTGACTTACCTTGCTTCTTATTATAGAATAGTTGAATTCAGCTTTGAGGTGATTATTTGGAACTGAAACTCCAAAAAAACCTGTCTCCTTAAGAGAAGCATTGGACTTTCCCTGTCAACAGACCACGTCAAATAAATCAAAAGATATTAAAAAAACACCATTTACAGATGTATTGAAGGAACACAAACAATTTTGCTTAAAGAATAAGTGCTGACCTCTTTGTAGATGGAGACAGTAGAAGGGATTATAGAGGCTGCTTGAAGAGCCATAAGAGTGTTAAAGTTGAGCTTTCTTGAAGTTATATTTTGCGACAAGTGGATCAGTTTCGCTGTTTTTAGAAGGTTAAATTGAAGGGTTTTGTTCTGTTAACGTTCTGGGGGAGATAAGACAGTGTCATGGGCTGGGGACAACTTTTGCCACATGGATTTCTCTTGTCCAATCAAGCTTTGAGTTTGAGATTTTCTATGATATAGATGTCCACTTTGACAATCCAACATGGACAGGGTTGTAGATTATGGAAATCCAGATTCTTCTACAGGCAAGGATGGATTAGATCCTGGGATAATATCCTTCTCTATGTGGTGTTGATACTTGGGAAATTGAAATTGGAATTGGAATCCACTTTTCCTTCATGGACAATTTAATGGGACAAATTGTATAAATTATCATTCAATTGGTATTAATATTTTTTCTTCTCAAAAAGATTTGATTTCTAACCTTTATTTTGTAACAGAAGAAAAAATAAATAAATAGAACAAATTGACTGTAATTAGATGCTACAAATGAGTGACTTTTTTATGGAGTAAATTATAAATTAGTTCATCAGAGAAATGAATTAATTATTTTTATTATTTTTTAAAAAATAATTATTTATTTTTTAATTTTTAATTTTTCTTGTAACTTCATATTTTTCGTTATTTTTTAATTTATTTTTTTAAGAAAATAAAAAAGGAAAAAAGTAAATAGATAGAAGAATTGATGAAAAAATATGATTTTTTAAAATAAAATAATATTAAATTAAGTATGATTAATACTAATTAGAGAATTAAATAATTAATTTTTAACAAGAAGGATGAATTAATTCGTTTCTAAAAAATAGAATAACTAATTTATAATTTACCCGTTCTTTTATTTACTACTTCTGTTTGAAAAAGAAAGGGAAAAGAACGATCTTTTGGGTATCCATGATGGGCTGAACCCATAATCCAGAGGCCCAGAGGCGGAGACTTGATCCATTCAGCACCCCACATCCAACTAGACCATAATGCATTATGGCCCAGTCTACTTTGCAACAAGCTAAACTACAGTGATAAGGTCCAAGTCTAGATTTCTTTTTTTTTCTTCTTCTTTTTTTCTTTTTTTGTCCTTTTGGAGAGGAAAGAGGCTTAAATTTAAAATTATTCCCTTTCTTGTTTCAAATTGTCTTTTTTTAATAATTTATTTCTCTTTTTCACCTACTTTTTTTTTCTCTTCAACCAATTATTGAGAGATACAATTCTAGACCAATTATTGAGCTTGAAAATTTTGACCAATGAATGGACAAAATGAAAATTAATCTAAAAGGCATGTTGAGTAACTTATAAATTAGTCCATTTTTGTTTTGAGAAACGAATTAATTAGTTCCCTGGTTTCAAAACCCAATCATTTAGTTCTTTTTGCTATTTTTTTAATTTATTTTAAATTTTAATTTTAAGAAATAGAAAAAAAATAAGTAAAATTTATGGAAAGATTGATGATAAAAAGATACATTTTATAAATAAAAAATATTAAATTAATCATGATAAACACTAATTAAAATGATTAAATAACTAGGCTTGGAAACCAGGAGGACTAATTAATTTATTTTTCAAAAAGAGAGGGACTAATTTATAATATACTCTTCATATTGGTCAGCTAAACAACATTATCATTCTTAATAATCAACATTATTAAAGGAATGCTTATTTAAAACATATAATCACACGAATCATCAACAACACACATAAAAACACCATTTATCAAATAAATAAATAAAATGATTGTTTATCTTAGTGATAACTATAATCAATCTTAGAAAAAGAAGAAGAAAAAGAAGAAGCCAAACTCAATTTTAAAGTCCTACTTTGCCTCCCAAACACTCAAGAATCAATCAAGAACATTTATAAACAAAAGAGGAGGCATCGGTCAGCATTTTTTATTTCCAAATGTTGACCATAAGGTCAACTTTTAATTTATTAAGACAACTAAATTCTCTAAATCATTCTCCCAAAAATTATGGAACCGAGTAAATTGAGGAAAAAGAAAGAAAGTATGTGAAGAAGAAAAATAAGACATCAAAGAAAAAACAATTTAAGAATAAAAATCATTAATATAACAAAAAACTAATAAAAAACTAAATTGTCAATAAAATTAAAATATGTGAAACTAAATGATTTTTTTAAAAAAAATAAAAGCTAATTAATTTGTTTGTTAAAACGAGAGAGACTGATTTATAATTTACTCAATTCAAATCACAAAAAAAAAAAGATTTTTTTTTTTTAAAATGACGATAAAAAATATCCTCAAATCAGTTTACATGTTAATCAAAATCAAATATTTTAAAAAAATAATTTAAACACACACCTTTTATATATATATATATATATATATATATATATGAAGTCCTATTCATGCTTCCATTCCAAATCCAACTTTGTCCTCACTTTGTTAAGAGATACAATAATGGAGGCTTCAAGCCCAAACAAAGCCAAAATAATTATACACTAAAAAAATAATAATGCTTGTAATCCATAGATAATGACAGCAGCCGCACCTTGACATCAAAATGTTGGGTTTGGTTTACGGAAAGGAACATCAACATCTTAATCCATGGCTGCCTCTCCACCATGCTTGAAGATATTTCCAAAGCCCTGTTAACCTCATGATTAGAAACTAAAATAATATTTAATTAACTACATCATTTTCATAATATAGCTTTTTCTCATCAATAATCCATCGTTATCATGCCATTGAAAATAAGAAATTGTGGATGATCTCATGGGACGGCAAAAATGGCCCCCACGATTTCAGTGTCATCAACACAGTCAATGCATTAACCTAATCTTAAAGGTTTAATGCCATAATTAATAGGGAAAGTTGTTTTCTACATGGTTAGCTCTTTATTCCAGAATTTTATAGACATGAGATGCCTGAATCCGGCGAGGATTCCCAGACAAGAAATATTTTGTACAATGAAAGATAAAAAACAAAGACTTCCATGTTGTTCACATTTTCAGATTTAAGATTCCCTTTAGCAGAAGAATATGCTAATTGTCATTCTGCTTTGAATCCCACTAGGTTTTGTAAATTTTGTGGCCACTCATGGTCCTGTAGGTGTACTCTCTTGCACAAGAAGACTTGTTTTTTTTTCTATTCTTTCTTTTTTATAAGTAACTAAATTTTCCTTTCTTGGATCAAAGTATCCTGTCGGTTGAACTTTCATATATATGGAGATTAATTCAATCTTTTTAATAATAGATTTAGATAGGTTATTTTTATCGAAACAGATATATTCATAAAAAAAGATTTTCGATCATGATAGATCTAAAATAATAACATAAGAACCTAAAAAGATTAACTTGAGTGGAATGGGTTTAATTGCATAAACAAATGGTCTCGGATTCGAGTTTTTATTTATGTAAAAAACTCTCTGAATAGTTGTTTTCACATCATGCATCCCATGAAACAATGAAGCATCAATTTAATCTTTTTGGGCATGGAATACCCTAAAAGATCCAGAAAAGAAAACGATAATAATAACATAAGAAACAAACTACTTACCATCTGAGCCAAGCATGGGAGCATAAGCTAATTTGGTATTTTAGATATGAGAAAAAAATGATATTTTGAAGTTTTAGAAAAAAAAATCACAGTAAATGATCGTTACACATTCCAGCATCAGCATGCATGTTGACAATGACTTTAATCATGTGGCCATTTCTTTGCACCATCTTCTTTGTTCATTGGACCATTACCAAATAATGCATAAAAATAATTTTGAAGCCATGCAAATTAGTTATTTTTTTATTTTTTATTTAATTGCCTGTTTTGAAGCTCTCTCTCGATTTCATATCTGGGACAGGTTCACCAACCTCAGGTCTTTCAAAGAAAACTGCAAATGAAGTTTTGGACAGAACGACCTAGCTAACAAAACAAGATCCTTTCTTGGACAACAGAATACATTAAATTTTAGGACATTAACACCTTGTTGCAGCCAAATTGGTTATAACTATTGCACACAAGAATTGTTTTGCCATGATATAGGGTTTCCATAAAATGCAACAAAACTGATAGAAATCAAAGAGCAGTATAAAAGAAGTGTTTAAAATGGAATGAAAGCAGAATATAATAATGAAAGATGATGGGACTGCAAATGGCTCGATATCTATCATTACAACTACTGTTCATAAAAGAGAGTACATATGATTACAATGTGAAGATCATAACAAGCTCCAAAATGTACAAAATTACAAATGTCTGATTCCATCCTCCAAAGCAGAAAAACTAAGCTTGTGATGGATAGACCAATGAAGAGGGAGATCACCAAACTGTCTCCTTCTATGCTGGTCCTGAACTTGGAAGTTGACAATCTCCAACAAGACATAAACAGCTAAGAAAAAAAGTATATAAATAAAGCCATGATTGGAATGCAGAATGAGACTACCTAGAGACTTGATAGATGATATCACCAGCTTGGAAAGACATGCATGACCTAACAAGCATAGAGCTAGCCTAGATTTTCTTTGCATAAAGGCCTGAAATATGCAGCCTTTTTTGCAATAGGTGCAAAGGAAAAGGATTGAAAGGAACAAGAAAATGTGTGAAGGAGGTTTGGAAAGAAGAAGAAGAAGAAAAGAGTGGTTTGAAGCTTGTGGAATCCTGATAAGAAAAGGAAGTAAAGCTCCAAGGGAATCACAGGTTGTTTGTGAAAAATCTGCAACCAGTGAGGAAAAGGAAAAAACAAAAGAAAAAAGGTGGGTCTAAAGATCAAAATTCTCCTAAGCATAGCAGGTCTAGAGTCACCAATTGGTTTGTTAAAAAATCTGCATCAGTGAAAAAATCTAAGGGGGTGGCCCAAAAACCTTCTAGAAAAGACACTAATCTGATGGGAAAAGTAAAAGAAAGAGGCTGATATGCTATACCAGGAGAAAACTAGACTTATGGGTGACCATGACTATGTCAATCAATCTTGATCCTTCCAAAAGAATGGCTTTATGGGGAAGGAAGAGGAAGAAGAAGAAAAAGCTGAGCTCGTGCTGTCTTGTTGTCTCTGGAGATTAGAAGGATCATTAAACTGCTGTTGATTTGGATTAACAAAAGGAAGGTGTGATTGTAAGAAAAGATTGTTAGTGGTATCCAAATCATCCCACACAGGACTCCCTGGACCCCAACCTGCTTGAATAGCATTATACCAAGCTTCTGCCATGTCTCCCCAGACCAATTCTTGAGACCCCGAAATGCCTTCCCCTGCACTAGACCCCTCTGCCACTGCCTGAACCTCATCACTCACCGTAGCCCCACTCGAACCCATCCCGGAATCATCATCAGGATGGTCTCCTTGAGGCTGTTCTAGTGGTGCTGGCGGTGCTGGTGGTGGCATGGTTTCCGCCTGCAAGTTAAGGCCTTCTTGGGGTTTTTTGGGCATTAAACTTTGATTGGGAGTCGGCGGAGAAGAAACTGTTGAACTTGGAGCTGTAGAAGTTGCTTTATCTTTGTTGAGGAAAAGTTCAGGGAAATTCAACCTAGCATTCTCTCCTCTCAACTTAAAGGCCTCGCGGTCGTAAGCTAAGGCAGCATCTTCAGCTGTATCAAATGTGCCTAGCCAAAGGCGAGTCCTATTTCGAGGGAGACGAATCTCGGCAACCCATTTTCCCCAATGCCTCTGCCTCACTCCCCTGTAAAGCTTTGTTGTATTTATAGGCTGAATCGGAGGCCTAAACAACGGCCTCCCGTCCGGCCCCAGCCTGTTCATCATCATCATCATCCTACCTCTCGGACTTAAGTTCAATGCATCACTCCAGTTCGGAAACAGCTGCTGCTGCTGCTGTTGGTTAGACAATGCAGATTCTCCAGCAAAAAACGGAGGATATGCAATGCCATATTGCTGGTTCTGACCAAAGGAAATCATTTGCTGCTGATTTTGTGCAACTTGAGACGGTGGATGGAAAATAGGCAATGAAGGGTTTGTTCTAAATTGTTGAGGGAATTGAATAGGTTGATCAGACCCTTCAATGGCAAAAGGAAACAAAGGCCTTGAACTTGAAGATGACATAGGTGAAGACGACGAAGTAGGCGGATACAGAGAGAGATTCGAGGCAGAGCTAGAAGAAACAGAGAAACAAGATGGTAATTGATGAGCTAAAGATGCAGAGGATTGAGTTTGTTCTTGACGTTCAGGGCTACGGACTTTCTTGAAAGGCCTATCAGACAAGGAAGCTTCACCAAAAACCGGCTTCCATTGCCGCCTCTCGAAGTTAACATCAACTTTTTTTTGCCTCTATCAAGCTGCCAATCTTGTTGTTCCATTGTCATCTCTTGAGTTTCATCAACAACACCCTTCTTGGATTTTCCAGTATTATTCTTAGCTGCTGCCATTGATAACTACCCGCTCGCTCGCTCTCTTTCAAAAGATTCGATTTTATGCAAAGGGATGGAAAAGAATCTTTGAGATAGGACAGCACACCAAAGCAAATGGGGATAAAAAGAAGATTAGAATAAAATGTAAAACCAATTCCAAAAAAAAAAAAAAATTGAAAAGAAACAACACCAAGATCCAAATTTAGTTAAAAAGATTTGAGAATCTTGTATGGAATTTAATGGCTAATCCGATTGAAGTAAAAACAGAATCGGATACCAAACATGTCAAATCTTGAGCAATCCATCTTTAGAAAATGAATACTGATAAGAGAGAGCGAGCGCGGCGAAGAGAGGTAACAGAAATCCAAATGGGGTGTTGCTGTTGTTGGTTTCGTGGTGTTCCTTTCTGGCGGTGATGAAGAAATTTTGGCCTTTTGGTATTTGTGGAGTGATTTTTTGAGAGCTTAAAAACAGAGAGAGAGAGCAGGGTAGAAACAGGCGAGAGCTTATTTTGTAGTTGTGAGAGAAGCAGGGGAGGTGGGTTTATATGTGAGCAGGAAAAGATTTTCAAGCACGGACTTTTTTGGGCGTAGAGAGAGAGAGAGAGAGAGAGTAGAGAGAATTTGTAGAAGCCTCGTGGTTGGTTAGCTTTGTTTGGGACCCACACGTTTTGTTCTCTTTCCCGTTTCGTTGCTTCCACTCTAATTTGCCTATCCTCTCTCTCTCTCTCTCTCTCTACACAAATATTTATACTATTATTGTAACAATGTTAATTTGGGTTTTCTTTAATTTGAAACAAAGTTAAACTATTGTCTCAAAGATGGATTTTGACATCAGCGCCACAACAGCTTTTTTTAGCCATCCGAACTATAAAAATATCGTTTAAATTTAGGTAGTTGGTTATAAAATATTATGAATTATAAGTTTTTTTTTTGAAAAAAAAAGTTTTTAACCTTTGTTTTTCTTTATTTAAATTAATTTTTTTCATTTCATTGACATTATATACCACATATAAGATCCACGAAGTTATTAAAATAATAATATATGGTTCGAAAGTTCTAAATATGAAATACTGTTTTATTATATTGTTTTATTGCTTCATATATCTCTCGTATATGTTTAATATAACTTGAGATTAGTTAATGAAATAAAGCAATTAATTTTTTTAAAAAAAAAGTTGAAAACTCAAATAAAAAAAAGATAAGAGTTTTTTTTTTTTTTTGCTGACTAATAGTTCAACATATTTTATATCCATTATTAATCTTAAAATTTTTTACTTTGAGTTTTGTAAAGAAAAGTTTGTATTCATAATTTTTACACAAACATACATATCTTATAGTAGTAAATTAAAATTTTTATTTTAAAAGTTTAGAGATCAAAATAAAATAAACTTGAAAATTTTAAAAAATTACATAAAAAAAAAACCTAAATTGATGTTAAAAAAAAAAAAAAGTAAAGGGGGAAAAATATGTATAGTGAAAGTAAACTAAAAAAAAAACACTTACTACAGCAATAGTGAAACCAAAGCACTTAAAAAAAAAAAAAAAAAAAGCGCTTGTAAAAAGTTGAAGAAAGGCCTGCAAAGGGGGAAAAAAATTGAAAGCTAGCTGGAAAAAATTTTGCTTGTAAAGTGTTTTAGAGTGAAAAAAAAATAAAATAAAATAAAATTAGATACCACTGTTTATTGAACAGTGAAAAGAATAGTAACAATGAATGGTAAAACACTTTTGTGTTTTAAAATATTTTTTTATAATTGATTATAAAAAAAACGAAAATACGAATTTGTTTTATAATCAATTTTTACTAAATTTTAAGATAAACTATCAGTTAATTTTAAAAATGAGATGAAAACTATTTAATTTATCACCGCAACATAATCAAACGAAATATAAAAGTAAATTCTGCTTGACGGTGAGGTAAGAAAAAGTTAAACTACTTGAAAAAAATATCTTTCCTCATCCTTCTATGTTACTTCGAGAAATTCAAAATTGAACCCTTTTGAGAAGAAATTAGACACCTACCACCTGGCTAAAATCTTTGGAGGTTCATGCGCACTTTCAACCATAACCAACAAATTAGGTGCCTGTAAAAGGTATGAAGGGTTGGCAGAATAAAACACCGTTGCTCCATAAATTTCAATGTCCGTACGACGATGAGGAGAATATTGTATTTTTTTAAAGTGGTGTGTTGTTTTGAGTGTCCTGCCCACTGGTTGACAACGTCTCAAGGAACACATGTACACTTGGTCTGGCTAGAAAGTGGGTGCTTCCAACAGCATCTCAACAACAATAGAAAGTAAACCAAAAGATATTAGTCCGTACATAAACGATAAATCATGCCCAGAATTTGATTTTTATTGTCTAACACTTTTAAGGATTTATTATCAGAATATTCAAAATTATGTATTAAGAAGCGATTGCTAACCATACCCAAAAAAAAAAAAATTGATCTTGAGATACATAAAAATTGATCCACAAACACCATTATTGTTAAAAAAATCAATAGAAAGCATTAATAAGTTGTTGATTTAGTAATAATTGATCTAGTTTTTAAGTAAATTTTTTATCCATATACAGAGTTCAAATCTTAAAATTACAATTATTAAAAAGAGTTAAATTTTATTGTTGTTATCTCGAACAAAATTAATCTTACCTCCAAGTGTGTAATGAAAATAACTGGATTAAAAAAAACTACAAAAAGTCAAAATAAAGAAATTCCTTTATAAATATTATAGTATGAATATAGATAGTTTGTTTAAAATCTAATTTATAATCCAAGAATACTTGGCTTATCTTCAATTAACATTTGTCAGAATAGAAATCTTATTGATTTGATCAAAAAGATTCCGATACCATATGTTTAATCATCGAATTTATAAACTTAGATAAGGCCAGTTTGTACAACAAGCATAGTTTAATAATTGTATGCATTAGTAATTTTGAGTAAAATAGATACTAATTACTTTAGTTTATTTAGTTATTATATAATGGAAGAGAATTATCTTTTATTATAACAAGCCCTCGATAAAAAATAAATAAATAACCCTTGATGAAAAAAATTAAATAAATAAACTTAGATGAGGCTAACCTCAGTTTTATATTATACTCATTCACAATAAAAAAAATATATATATTATGCTTTTGCATACCCTTAAACACATCGAAACACAAAAGTTTCTCTCTACCCACAATAAATAAAAGAAGCTGCAAGCAACACAAGTCCACATAATTCAAACAGTTTATATTTTCTATCGAAGATTGTACTTTTTTCACAAAAATACGAGCCTCTTAAATTATTTTTATAATAAATCCTATAATTTTATAGGAAAAAAATACAATACGTAATATATCTAATAATTTTTCATAGTAACATTATGATCTCTCATTCTCTTAATAGATCTCGAATGCGTATCTCTTTCCCAAGAAAAAAAAAAAAAAAAAAAACTCGAAATATCTATATGCTTTTCTTGTTAAATCTTGGAGAGCATTGACCCTTCTTGGTTCATCGTAAATTTGTGTACAACAATGAAACATTAGTCATGTCGAAGTGGTCTTGTCTTCTGTTCAAAAAGAAAAGAAAAAAAAAAAAACACGTTCTCTAGGGTCATCACTTTCGGTGAAAGGGATTCAATCAAAAAACAAAAGAAAGAAATGGTCTATAAGATCCCCGCTCTGTTTTTCGTCCTTGTAAAGTCAACATTATAACGGTGTCTTCGAAAAGTCGGTGTAAATCGGCACGTGTCGGCGGTCCACCCAGCTACCTTATCATTTTTTTTCCTTTGCTTCTCCAAGTCCACCACGTTAAAAAGAAGAAAAACTTTGTTAGAACTCTTAATTAAAAAATTGACTTTTTAAAAACGTATAGTCGGTACAATGATAATTAAGCTGATCTCTAAATAAATTTTTTTTATTAATATAGAATATTTAAATTTTAAAATTATATTTATTAAAATAGGTTAAATTTTATTTTTTTTGTTTTGAATATAACGTGTGATAAAAATACTTATAAAAAACTAAAAAAAAATGAATGTTTCTTTTTTTTTCTTTTTCCTAGGAACGAGAGGTTGGAACTTAAAATCTTTTGAAGTGAAGAGCGAGATTAAATAAAGACAATTTTTAAATTTGATTAGAGTTCATACAAATACTAATTTGCTAATTAGGTATTTAAGCAAAATCTTTTACTCAAAATACTATTAATTTAACGTCCGGATCATATTATATATTACTAGAAACTTCAGTAGTTCTAATCGATATTTACTAGAAACAATGTTTTGGACCCTGTTGAATGTTCTTGATTGACCAGAAATTGACAGGAGAGGAGAGACCCAAGACAGCAAAATCTGACCGTAACATACTAACATCTTCTTCACTTTAAAATAAACCTTTTTAGTCGGACAAATATCAAGCCACCCTAGCTTAGTGACCAAGACAGAAAAAGCTTTCTTTTGAAGTTGGTGACACAAGTGAAGGACACGTAGTGCGCATTCCATGATTGTGGCTACATCAGTATCTATCTCGAGAACTAAAAATATTGAAAAATCTTTTACTAGCTCTTCAAGCCAATCAAGAACATGGAGACAATTTTGGAGTCTCTTTCTTTGACAATCCAGCATGCAATCACACCAAACTTCTCTTCTCTACGCCTCTCTCTACACTGTTTTTGGGATACATGCATGAATATGTCATGGAATTTGGGAAAAACCCTTTGACATTTGCTAGCAAATGCATGAATATCTTACCAATTTAATGATTGGACTCCTTTCACATACATAATTCCATGGCACCATCATGCATTTTAAAGCATGATTATTAATTGCTTTAAAGTTTATCAATCTCAGTTAATGCAAGTAATTGACAAAGGGCTATGCGTTGATTATCTATTTTGTAATGAACAAATTCATAATAAAGAAACGGTAGAGCGATAAATACATGATTTTTCAATATGAAGAAACCAACTTCAAATTCGACAAATTAAAAAAAAATTCCTAAAAAATTCAATATCAGATCAATGCTTGACTC